GAGCCTGGGGCGGTGCGGGGGCTGCGAGCTGGGGAGGGGGGCTGGAGCTCGGCTTCCTCAGAGCCAAGCGGGTTGCGGGCCCCGGGCGGGCCCTGCGCTCCAGCTACCGATGCTCATCATGTGGGCAACGGGCTCCAAAAAGGTGTGTTTTATATAAGAAATATTCCCCCAGCTGCAGTATTCCACCTTTGTCCTGTGAGGCGTTTTCTGGTCGGTCTTTGGGGTGGGAAAAAATTAAATTAATTGTCCCTAATGCAGATGTGTTGGTGCTTTCGGTGTCGCGGGTAGGTTCAGCGGGAGAGCTTTCTGGCGAGTCCTCCGCCGTGCTTCCGAGCGAAGGGAAACTCCTCCGCTTCTCTTTACTGTTTCCTGCTCATATGTGCTTTGGTGTTTCTCGCTTAAAACTGAGGATTCGGAGTCCTTCACTTCCCGTTTGTTGTTTTGAGTTTGTGGCTGACGGTTTCTTACTCGGGGGTTACGGTTTATTACCGTGTTTTGTAAAAAACGAGCCGCCAGCTGCGAGAATTTCCTGCAGGGCTCTGGTCTGGAGGTAGGGAAGAAGTACAGACGGGTGAAATTAGGGTTTTTCCTCTCAAATAGCAGCGCCGAATCCTGTCCCCGAAGGGAGAAGCAGGGGGAGGCTGGCAGCTCCTTCGTTTCTCGCCACATCACGGGCAGGAGCAGGAGCTGTCCCTTCCCTACCGGGCTGAGGGATGTTGATCCGGTAATGGCTCCTCAGGCGACACGGGGTGCGTATGGCACCGAGCCGGGTGATAGACTCCCTCCTGGGTGTTGCGTGTATGCATTAATTAATAAACAATTGTTTCATTCATTCAACTCATGTCCCTGTGCCTTTGCACTCAGTAAAAAGTGCCTCAACGGGCTCCCCCAGGGAAGGGGTTACCCATTGTGGGGCTCCCGGAGCACCCCAAGGCTCCTCGGCCCGCCGGGACAGCCCCGGGGCCGTTCGCAGGGGAGGTCCTGGCCGCAGCCAGGGTCCCTCCGGACCTCCTGGATGTGAGGGCTCTGGCAGAGCGGGCTCC